GCAGGACTACCTCCTCCCGCGGTCGCTCACCCTCCGACTAGCGAAAGCGGTCCTGCCCCCCAACACAGCCATCCAGAAGGATGCGGTGCTAGCGATCCAGAAGGCTGCGACGGTGTTTGTGTCGTATCTTGCTTCACAGTATGTTCTTTTCTTCTTCTTTCCCTCCTTCTTGTTCACTGAGGGTGAAGCGGGGTGTGGGTGGATGCTGACAGGAGTAGCGCGAACGAGGCGACGCTCAAACGAACGGTTACGCCAGCAGATGTTTTCGCCGCGTTATCCGAGTTGGAGCTTGAGGCGTTCCAGCCTAGGCTTGAGAAGGAATTGGAGGCGTTTACAGAGATGAAGGCTGGGAAGCAGAAGGCTAGAAAGTCTGGGGCGGGGGATAGTGCTGAGGCTGGGGCGGTGCAGCAGGGTGCCCTGCAGGAGGATGACGAGGAGAGCGCGGTGCGTGAGGCGAAGAGGGTGAAGCGGGTTGAGGGCGCGGGATCGTCTAGTGCTCAGGCTGGGGATGAGGAGGAGGAAGATGAAGATGATACCCAGGAGGAACACGAGCAGGGGTTGGAGAACGAGGAGGAAATTGAGGAAGATGAGGAGGACGAGGACGAGGATGAGGACGAGGAGGATGAAGATGAGACACAAGAAGAGGACATTGATCGGGTGGAAGATCTGGATCGCGATTCGCGACCGAGGCGGATGATGGATCCTGATGCTGCGGATGACACAGAGAGCGAAGACGAGTCGGGGCCTGGGACGCAGCTGCAGAGTGGGCTGGGTTTGGGATAGTACAATATTGAGGAACGTTTGCCTAAGACGGAGACATCAGACTACGCAATGAATACTGATTTGATGAGCACCACGTATACAGAGATTGTTGGGTGAAATTCGTGTCATTGACACGTATCCTTGATTCAGTAGCTCGTCTGAGCTGTCAAGTGAATAGGAGCAAAGCATTACCAACGCCCAGTGTTAAAGCAACCGCATTATCGCATGCGTCCAGTAAGTATCATGATCCCGTAGAGTATACAGCAAGAAATACAGGATAATCCAGCCGCATGACCATCCATCGAGTATTCAGCTTCAATGCAAGACCTGGTGCATTGAATTCAAAGTCATCCTCATGCCCAACGCCAAATATGCATATAGTCTATCAGTGGTATCCGCGAACAACATCAGATGAGGATCGGTCGTCCGGTAGTCCTCGAAGTTCAGAAAATAATAGTACAGAAACGTCAAACCCAAACCGGAAACATCACGGACTTGGCGGATTGAGTAGATCCTTCATCCCCTTCGGAACCGATTTGGGAGAAATCGTGTCAGGGTTGCTCCAGAGTCCACCGCCCGGAGAAGTGTTTCCTTTACTGACCAGGTTAGGGAAGAGAGGCCCGTTATTGCGCGCCGCACTAGGCGGAAGCGGATGCATCGGTTTCGTATCATCCTTTTCCAGTTTGATGGATTTGCCAGTATCGCCAGTCGCAGCCCTCGAGGTTTTGGTGACTTTGCTGAAGGCGGTGATCTTTGCGTTGTGCGCCGGCTCGGCTTTCTTGCCTCGCTTCTTGGGCGCACTCTTTTTCGGCGCGGCTTTCTTGGGTTCGCCGCTTTTTGCCTTGTTGAGCACATCTTTGAGACTCCGGCCCCGGCTGGCAGGATTGTTGAGAGAGCTACCGTTCGATGGGTGCTTGTGTCGCAATTCTGCTGACTCCTCGTCGTGGCTAGAGGAAGGCGTAAGAATTCCTGTTTGCGTCTTCTGCTTCTTCTTCGGCGTTCGGATGACAATGGATACAGCACCTTGTTCCTTCTTCACCCGCTCGACCTCGGAGGAGTTGCACTCGTCAAACACGTCCTCGGAATCGTCATCCCACCGTTTCAGACCGGCAAGCCGCGCCACTTCTTCACAGTCACCCTTGACCATCAGATCCCAGTAGTCTTCGAATTCCTTGCCGGCAGGCGGCTCGTTGTTGATCCACATGGTGACGCCGTTGCGACGCGTGCGGATCACGGAACAGAGGCTCTTCACCAGGCGACGTACGCCGGGGATTTTCAAACTGGTGCCGACCACAATCAGGGCGTCCGGTCGTGACCGGATATCTGCGTTCATGACCGAGGTAATCGCCTCCTCGTCCGGGTTGTGCTCGTTGTACAGCACGATCCGCGGTCGCATCTTGCCAATTCCGTGACTGCGCTGTCCGGTCTCGATGCGAAATTGATTATTCTTTGAGCACTCGGGGCATTCAGGAGCGTCAGGCCTGTTGAACATTTCCCGGTCGAAATCGAGAAGATGACGGCACTTTTGGCAGACCATTTTGTCGAGGCTCCCGTGCAACTGGATCGTGCGCGGCCAGGGTGCCTTTACGTTCAAAGGAATCTGGGTTGCCAGAGGCGGCATTGATGTCTCAATACCATCGATATTCTGAGTGTACAGTCGTGTGAGCCGGTTCTCCTGTGCCAAACGAGCGAGCAGGTGGTGGAACGCGGTCGGGCAGGTCTTGGCCGCCTCTTCCGACAGCGACCGCACCATATCCTGAAAGGAGGCGGTCAAGGACTCATCCTGGTAGACGGCAGCGTCGAACAGAAGCTTGCCGGAAGCTTTGAGGTTGTGTTTCTTCTGGAGGGTTTTGAAGAGGCCATCAGTAGAGCGAAAGTCAGGAACTATAATCGTAGATCAGCCAATTAGCGTGTTTGTTCTTCGGTCATTCACCAAGAGGCTGAAGGAATTGCATACTGCCTGCAGACGTAGAGATACCAGCACCCGCGATGACGACAATCTTGCGATGACGACGAAGGGTTTTGACTAATAAATCAATCTGCGCCTGCTGTTCGCCAAAACTGAGCCCTGAATCCCCGGACAGATCGAGCTGTTTTGTGGTGCGCTCTTTGGGGGTGGCTACGCGACGCTTCTTTCTGGCGGGGGAGATGCCGTCTTGGCCGCGTGCGGCGCTAGACGACTCGTCCGCGTCTTGAGATGGAGGCGGCGAGGGAATGAAGCTCGGAGGGGATTGAGGGGATGCTGGTGGAGAGCTCAGCTCTGAAAGCTCTGAAAGGTCGGAATCATCTATGAATTTAGGATTCCACCTCTCGTTTGAAATTGCGGATGTTTGAGAGGAAGACGTAGATGATGAGGTGGTCAAGGAGGAAGCGGTGGTTGTTGACGAGGGCGGAGACGGCGCCATGGAGAGCTGTGATGATCACGTATTTCTTGAGGAAGATACGTGGAAGAGAGGGAGAAAAGGTGATAGGAAGAAAGAGGAGCTTTTCACAGGGAAAAGCTAGAAGTTGCCCTGAGATACGATCATGGGAAAGATGGAACACGTAATTGAGGTAAAGCAATCCAGAGAAAAATCAGAATCTCGCCTCAGAAAGAGTCGAACCAGCTTTTGGCTGGGAATTAAGAGTAATTGACGGAGAGAGATTCAGGGAGAAAAGTTGGCCGAGGGATTAATATAGACGTGAAATAGAAAGAGTAGGCAAGAATGACGAAGCAGGGGAGAGAGTGAATAACCACAACCTAAGCCATAGGGGGAAGTGGTTGTCGTGGTGGAAGAAGGATTGTTGCTTGAGCAGAGTCTGTCTGTCTGTCTTGTCTGTCTGGCCTCTCGCTTGGGGCCGATGGTAGGTTGTGTTTATTTTGACTGACCCACGGGGGAGAGACGACGGGAAGAAGCACCGCCGATGGTTAGTCAAATAATGGATCAGACGTGATGGGATTAGACGTGGTGGAAAGAAATCATGGACCAAGACTATTGGAATAGCCGTTAGGGTTGACCAGGGTCGAAGAGCAACAGGTGGTATGTCAAGAGGAATGTTGCTGTTGGCTGCTGGCGACGTGAAGGGTCGGGAGTAGTAGCAATATATAAGGTATCATCAGACGGCAATGGAGATCGTCATTGTCTTCGTAGTAGCAGTTAAGGGTTCTTTGGCAAGGGAAAGGGACGGGTCTGGTGGCTAAGACGGAGCGAAGGGTATCTACAAGAATACAACATAGGGGACTTGGTCTACTGAATTTTGATGAAATCAATAGAGCCATCTGAAAGCTTGCTGCGTTAGATAACATCAATTGAGAGCCATCTCATCCGTTCACTCCTAGCTGAATTCTCATTCACTTTATGACGAGATGATTCTCGTGGCATTGATGCATTATTGTTATCCATATGATTATCGCAGAGTTTTAGGCTGATAATTGATTGTTCCCGTCCCTGATTTCTGCAGTTTCATTGGCCAACCTTATAAGATGCCTGGGGCCACACTTTTGAGCCCTCAAGACATATCAAGTCAAGGCTGGAAGGCTTCAATAGTACCTAGGTGCATATCCACAGAACTTCCTGTCTTTTAGTTTCAAGAATACTGAGTCTCTTATGTTTGTATCGATGACTGTAGAGACTATTCATCAAGCGCCAGCTGTAGAGAGGTAGACACGTCTGGACATTTTTTCTTCATCTCGCAGGATATGCTCTGTTCAGAGTATTCAACTGTGTACTATCCACTTGAATATACACAGCCCATCACATGGAATGTGTATCTAGGTCAACGCGAGGATGCTTCTTTCACCGAGTTCGCCGACGTTACGAAGGGTTTTGTTGTATCCGTCGATATAGAGTCGGAAGCGCCAATCATGGCAGGTTGACCGGTTGGCCGGGAGATTGGCCCACATGACATCACATGACAGATGACTGATCAGCTTGATTATTTGAATTAATGTGGAGAACGATCTGTGATGATGGTACTGATAGAAGAAGCGTGAGACAAAGGCATAATGATAAGGTGAAAAATCATCATCATGGCAAAGAACTCATTGATATGACATTGTTGAATTTTTCCTGATTAAGTAGAATCCTTGGTTGTTTCGTGCATTTGATCGTCTGGATATCGCGCACGTTGGAACGGGTTCTCCGGTCTCGCAGGCCATCGCTTCTAATGCCTGGAGGATAATGATGGTGCTGGCACTTCTCTGAAACTGTACCTTGTCATCGATACTGTCGTAAATCAAGACACATTGCCTGTTCAAAATGCCCTTGATCATGGAAGACGGCATCAATGTTGACGATTTGTTTGGAGAGCCCGGCTCCCTCGAGCTGGGTTTGTCCCCTTCTACTACCTCTCCAAGAGGTCTTGCACAACGCTTAGATGAAATGAGACTGATAGGTTGTTGTCAGTAAGTATCATGATTTAAGCTTGCGAGTTTACAAGCATGGCACCAAATCTAACGCTACATCAGGAAGATTGCATGGTCAAAACTCGGATGTATTGCATACATCTCCCAGGACGGTCTGAGAGTCAATGTCCGTCACCTCCAGTGTCGGCCCTCAGATGGAAAATGGGTCCTCAGTGACGAAACCCCTCTGCTGCCAGTCACCGATGCTCATGGAGGACACACCTTGGTCCATCTGTGCTGGAATGAGCCAGGGGCCGAACTGGCGGTGGCAGATTCTTCAGGACGGGTATCCATCTACTCAATTTCGATTGCACTCAATAGTATTGCCGGTCATCGTCAAGCAGCTTTTGATCCCGATGATGACGGTGCTCAAATAGTGGGTATGATGTGGTTGAACACCCAACGCACGGTGCGTATTTGTTGATCTGGAGACCTTCCTGGACTCTCGGCTTACTGTCTGAACAGGTGCATTCCTTCTATCAAGCGGCAAAGGTGCAGGGACGCTGGGCCTACTCGCCATTTCGACGTCGTCCAATTGGCCCGTTCCATCCAGTGAATAAGGCAGGTCTGGTCTGCGTGACCAGGTCTGGAATCATTCGACTGTTGTATCAGAATCCTGACAGCAGATGGGCAGAGATCTCTGCAGAACTCAAAAATACAGGCTACTCAGACCGACTGCTGACCCACGCGGCCTTGGTATCTACGCAAGGCGGCATCCTCATTGCCACACACTCAGCATGCCAGAAGATCTGTCTTTATCGCGTTCACATCGCCTGGACCCCGACTCAATACGACCCTGGCCAGCAAAAACCGCCAGCACCTTGGCCTGTCCCTTCCTTCCGCTTCCTCCATTGCAAAGTCGAACCTCAGTGCGACGTACCAGGCACGAACCGCAATGCGGGAGATAATGCACAGGGTTTGCCCTCATTTACCAACTCTCTTTACTGTCTTACCGGCTTGGTTATTGTGCTTCCAGCCCTCGACAACCCAGCGGGCTCAACGGCAAATCCTTGGGTGGTTGCCGTCTATTCAGCTCCTCTCCACGTCACGCAGGATCATCCTCAGCAACAAGGTCCGGCAAGCGTCATTGTACGGTGGCAATTGGACACCGGTCCGTTGACTCTTCACCCGAAATTTGATGACGTCCCTTCGAAGAAAAACAATGCCCAGATCAAGGTGAGCACTTTGATGGTGAATGTCCTTTGTACCGCTGTTAACAATTGAGGTAGCCGAAATTGGAGCTGCGTCGGTTGGATGACGTGTATTCCGACAAGTATGCCATCTCGATAGACCAGATCGAGTATGGCAATGTGCTCGCCATCACCTATGATGACGGCTCTGTGGTCTTCTATGATCCCAAGACCATGGCTGTGTTCAACGGAGTGGACGACGCAAACACTGTAACCAGCTTGGCTCAGGCAGGCTTTCACCACCCCCTAGAGCTTTCAGGTCAGTAATATTTCGGTCCGCTCGCCTCGTACCACGCTGATTCATGGATTTGCAACAGGTCTTCATATCAGCTTCTCACCAAACGCTTGCGCTGCTGTAATGCTTGACGGAGAGGGGCAAACTCACCTAAGGCTCACGGAGCACTCTTACGGGGCTGAGGGCGGACTTCATGATGAGAGTACGTACCTTGACTGCAAGGTCGTGAATTGGCGCATTTGCTGATACCACACTAGACAAATATTCGGCTGCTATTGCAGCGTTGACTCTAGCCTTTTGTCGTGGATGTGGAAGCGACGTAAATACAGACGATATACTGTTGATCCTTGTACGACAACTGACACCCGGTTAGTCCACATCCTTCGATTTCTGCAAATGATCCTTTCCGCTAACAAATGTACAGAGGCACAAGCCACCTTCATCAACGAAGCGTACCGCGCCTTGCCTATAAACTGCAACTTTACAGTAGAGCAGGATAAACTTATGAACCATCCCTACATTCCGCGCTGTCTAAGTATTCAAGCTGCTTTGGGATTCAAGAACAAATACACACCGCGGAACTTCGCATCCTCTATACCTTGGGCCGTCCTCCAGCTTCGCCATGCGTCGGTGCTATATGCGTTCTTCTTTCAGTACAATAAAGGCGGTGCCACAGAGCCGCATGACCCTGGTGAGATTATCTAGGTTGGTTGGTTGCGACGCTGGTGCTAACCGTACCCTGTCTGCATAGATGTTTTGCGTATGGTGCTCGGAAACACCAAATGGGCCCTTGACTTTTCATTCTACGTGCTTAACGAGCTGTTCGATCTCGCCGACGACTTTGAAAGCCTATCCGGCGACCAGGAGGCATTTACACAAAAGTGTTCGTGGTGCCTCGCCTCTACATACCTAGTTTTATGCTAACCTCCGCTCCCGGCAGTAAAATCCACAAGCTCCCTTCCTCTCATCATCCTCCTTTCAAGCATGTCTCGCGCATTCCTGCGGTTCATCTGCCGGGGCTTGCGCGGGATCTACGCAGGCTACGCGACCGCAGCGCCTCTAAGCGGCGATGCCCGCGTCTACTACGCGGAGATCTACCAAACACTGGAATCCGCGCCGATCCGAATCGACGCATACGAAAAGTTCCTCGCTGGCGTGGACTCGGCCGTGCGCCACGCCTATCACGGCGCCGGGTTCGGCGACGCCGAACGCCCAGGCCCCGAGAAGGAACTCCTGGTGAACGCCCGTGTGCCCCCCGTGCTGGTGCCGGCGGTGTCCACCATCCTCCGACAGACGGTCCCCGCGCTCAGAACGGAGATCGACCGCATCACGATCTACATGGGTGACTACAGCTGGCTGGGTCTGTCCAACGACCGCCGCACCGAGATGTACCGAAGGAACAGGGACGTGGACATCATCAAGAAGATTCCCTGTAGGCCTGTGGCATCTGCTCTTCCGGAGGCTAGCGCAAATGCAAACCAGAGCGGGAAACCCAGCACGCAGGTGCAGCAGCGTCGGCGGCGGTGCGTCCGCTGCTGCGAGGTCTCTAGCGACACGCATCCGCCGCGGTCGCTGCTCTCCTTCCGCATGATTGCGAAGCTGGGTCTGTTAAGAGCTTGTGTCTGCGGAGGCATGTGGACTCTGGAGCCGAGTGTGTATAGCTCTGCGCAGTCTTCGGGTGCGCCGGTGGGTCAGGCGACGGGACGTACGCCCGCACTGGTGGCTGCTGGGTTGGCTGGTTCGAGTTAGTAAGGTATATTATATGCGATGAACTTAATGAACATGTTGGAGTTCCTCAGAAGAGCTTGTGTCGGATAAACCGAGGGCACCAATGACAAAAGGTGGTTGTCAGAAAACCTCTACTCCGTAGTGTTGAAATATCTAAGGATGTCTAGACTTTGGATCGAACCGAGCTGGCCTCTCAATGCCTCCAACGAGGCCAGTCTAGATCGAGATCCTAAATCCGTAGCAACGCACGTTCAAAAATAGCAGAAGTCGCATTGTCATGTCATGTCAAGTAAAGCCTTCATGTATTATTGACCTGCATCTCACATCTCTAAGATACAAAATCAACCTTTTAAAAGATTTTTGCTGAAACCCGAAGCACCCGCACGCACGCAAGGTTCTAGGTCGAACTCGTCATCTTTTATAACGACCTTCCCGTAACTCCATTTCAGATCCAGAAACGACGTTGGTCTTCATTTAGGCCTGTGGAAATTGCTCCGTTAGTGACTCCGCTGACTTATACTGAATATGCCGCACGATTGCGGGGGGTTTCTGGCCGCATAGATATGAGGCGAGAGCACATCGCGATGGTCATACCTTGACGGCGTACTTCCGCTGGGGGAAGTGGATCTCCTTCTTGCGCTGCTTCTCCGTCTTGAGGGTGGCCTCGTGCTTGGTGAGTCTGCGGCGGAGGGCACGGGTGAGGCGGGGTCTGAGGTCAAGAGGAGTGTACTTCTTGTTCTTGTAGAACAGACGGAGCTGGGCGCGCTGGTTGGCGTTGATGACGGTGAGAACGCGAGCGATCGACTTGCGAACGTCGTGGCTGTAGAAACCGCAGCAAATCAGTATTCCTCTTCCCAAAACCATCTCATGTATATTGCGCAATCTGCGATTTTGGTAGGCCCCGATTCTTCCCAGTCTGTCGTTTCCGTTGTTCGATAAATTTCCATGCCACATTTGAGGCTTCTTTTTTATTCTTTCGAGGTAGAATTGCAGATGTCAAAAGGAAGGGTTTCGAGTTCAAACGCACATTCTCTGAGTCTTCGACGAGGCACCGGCAGCGATCTTCTGGACACGGAGCTGGGAGAGCTCGGTCTTCAACTCCTCGAGCTGCTTGGAAAGGTCTTCCTTGCTCTTTCCCCAGAGCTGACCAGCCTTGACCTTGGGTGTCGACTAAAATTCATCAGCATAACGAACCCCCAACGACTTCCAAAGAAGCCCGAATTCAAAAATGGCGCATTCAACATACCATGGTGGGCGGCTTCGTGTCGTGTCGTACGGGTATTGTCGACAGTGAGGATTGAAGATGGACCGGGTCAATTTTGGGATGTTCGTTGTGGGACTAGGGTTTTTTTCTGTGTTGGTGCGGGCGGTCACGCTGCGGCTGGGCTAAGCGGGCACGTGACTGTGACTGATTGCTGGGTGACGCCGCCCCCAGCGGAAACCCCCAACCAGCTGTCAGATAGGCCGGGAGGATCATCGTCGAATGATGGCATTGTTCTTGGTCTCTGTGGAAGTGTTATTAACGACTGCCTGGACGGCCGGATGACCCGTCGCTGATTTAATACTGTGATCCAACGATTTATTTGCTCTCATTTCTGGGGCGCGCGGGTTTACTACTACCATCACTTTGTACAGAGCTTCTGACCCGACCCCGAACCAAACTATGGCAACTTCGACTGGGACCGGATGGGCTCAGCTTCGGCAGCAAGCCCGTTCGCTTGAGACTCAGGTACCAAATCTGAAGCTACTTTAGTGATGGCGTTTTAATCTTCAAATGTTGATCGTATTGTCTCTAGACCGAGAGTCTGTTTCACACCTACGCGCAGTATGCATCGATGACGAAGCTGCCTCCGAAACCCTCAGAAGAAGAACAACGGATTGAATCACAGCTGAAGGATCTTCTTGAACGGGTATGTACTCTGAGGTCCTAAACCCCGGCCCGACGGACATGTATGCTTACACGGTCCCAATCACAGCGTGAAGCCCTCATCTCCCAGCTCTCCCGTCTCCTCGACTCCGAAGCCACTCTTACCGCATCCGCCCTGAAACAGAGCAATCTGGCCCGCAATCGCGAAGTCCTCCAGGATCATCGCCGCGAACTGCAGCGCCTGAACGCCGCAATTGCAGAGTCCCGCGACCGAGCCAATCTTTTATCCAACGTTCGCTCCGACATTGATGCCTACCGCAATTCAAACCCCGCCGCGGCCGAGGCAGACTACATGCTCGAGGAGCGGGGGCGTATAGACGAAAGTCATAATATGATGGATGGCGTTCTAAGCCAGGCGTATGCGATCAACGAGAGTTTTGGGCTTCAACGTGAAACCCTGGCCAGCATCAATCGCCGTATCGTCGGTGCTGCCAATAAGGTGCCGGGAATGAATGCTTTGATCGGTAAGATTGGCACGAAGAGGAGACGTGACGCAATCATCTTGGGAGCTTTCATCGGGTTTTGTTTCTTGATGGTTTTTCTCTTCCGATGACATACCGCCGACTTCTCTGTGTTATAAGTACTTGTTCAGCCTTGATTCTTCGTCGGATATCGCACGGCGTTTGGGGGTTTTCATGTACTCCTTTTCTGCATGCAAGCACTAATCACAATGGCCATGGCGTTTCGGTTGTCTATTTCACATTTATTTATATGTACATACAGGGACAGACTGCTATAGCTCCAGAGCTCACCGCATGACCACTCTAGGCTTCAGACTTGCGGATTCACTTTGGTTTCTTCCCGCCCATTCTTCAGCAGGTAGCTCCGACTCGAGACTGATCCTTCTCTCCTGTATTAATTTGCGAACACCGTTGTTCAATCCCTCCAGCTCGCCGTCCTCTGCCGGCCCGCTACCCGCCCATCGGATGCGACAGTTCTCGTCCAGCAGATAGACATAACCAACCTTACTGTTCATCATTCCGATTGCTTCTTTCAGACCATCCGTAAGACCTTTACGCACAAGGAAATACCGTTCGTGCTGCTCCTTGGGCAGATTGGCCCGCATCCGCCACATGAAAGTACGGACGAGCCAAGCCTTCAAAGCATTTTCTTCCAGGTTGATATCGACCTTCTGCACAAGCTCGCTTCCGGTCTTCATCGCCTCCCATAGACCGGGGTTCTGCTTTGGGCCCGTAAATGTCGCAACCTGCGACTCTGCCCAGACGCTTGAGAAGACATTGACGACGGACACTTTGCCGCGGAGTATCGACGTGGTGTTTTGCGGTTGTTTTGGCGACGCAAGAGTGATACCGTACATGTTGGGGAAGTAGAGGGCTTTGTCTCGTTTGAACAATCGAGGGTTCGATTTGAAGGTCTTACCCTCGTGGTAGCGCATGTTGGACCATTCTCTGAAGTATGGTTTTGCGACCTGCCTTGTTCTGTTGATAGCGGCGTGATTAGTATCCTATACATGCTAAGCGGTGGATGGACGAAGCTTCATACAATTCCTTGCGCCTCTCTATGTGTTTATCGTAATTGACGAAATCGTCCCGTCTTTGTTGCAGTGATCGCTCATCGACGCCAGTATTTTGTCCTTCTTGAGGCGGAATTACTGTGCCGATGGGACGGTCGAGGGCCGGAGGGACAAAGTCCGCATCGCCAGGCTGAGGTGCTGATGGGGAATCATTCTGTTTGAACTGAAACTTGTCGGTCGTGGTTGGCTTGCTTGCTGTGGCAGGCTTCACGTCGTTGCCGCTCTTGCTTTTGCTAGTGGCATAGTAGCGCAGTGATGGCTGCAGTCTGCTGACATTGCGGAGTTGACAGCTGAGACAGCGGCCACCTTGTAATAGAGATGCGTCTGCGAGTGATGATAGACGCACTGATGACTTCCACATGCTGATAGAAGCCGAATTGGCTGTATGAGTGGTAAGTGAAAGATCGGTTGGGACCACATTGGCTAAGGTAATCTCAAGCTCTCCGGATCGCCAACAGCTGTCTCACAAAGAGAGTAATTGATCTCGGTCATGTGACTTGGTGGCACTTTCGTGCCTGTCACACGCGTATCTGCCTTTGGCCGCGTGTAAGTCTAGAGGTCAGCATCACGACATCGATTTATACCAGGTAAATTCAGCAATAGTCAAAACTATCCGTTAGGCAGCCGACGCCAATCACTCATCCATGGCTCGAAGTCCCGCGCAAAGTTTTGTGCAACCAACCCCCATCCAGGCCAGAGAATGGCGGAAAAGACTCTGGACAAAGATGCCTTTTTCAAGGCACTGGAACAGCTGGATTGCTTGACGGATGACTCGGAGGATGAGGCTGATATTGAACTATCTCATATTATCGAACGATCGAGAAACAGTGACAAACTTAGCTCTTCAGATTGTCGCAAAGATACACAACCTTTCAAACTGTTACGTGCGACTTCAGCGCCCCAGTCTACTTCGACCAGTATCGCAGACTCAAGCACGCAGAGCAAGATGCTTGCGCCCGGCAGCGATGGCTTGCAGCTAGGGGTCAAAAGGTCCAACACTACCGGGGCCTTGACTGGACGTTCAGAAGCCGACAAGCAATCTAAACGACGACGAGTGATCGCCCCTAGGACTGTTCCTGAAGAGCAGCAGATATTCAAGGACCTTGTGTTCTGTGAGTGCCTGTCTCTATGCAGTCAGGATTTTCCCCAACTGCTAACAGTGTCGCCAGTCTTCTTTCCTAACAACGATGTCTCGCCTCTTCGGCGCCTACGGATTCAGCGTGCTCAGGAGTACGGTGCCACCTGGGCGAAGACATGGGAAGGTCATATCACTCATGTGATAGTTGACAAAGGTTTGATGTTCCAAGATGTTCTTAAATATCTCAAACTCGAGGCTTTCCCGGTGAGTATGCTGTGAGCTGTGCAGTTATTGCATATTTTCCTGACTTTAGCAGCCCAATGTCGCCTTGCTCGATGAAAGTTATCCTTCCGAGTGTATAAAATTCAAATCTGTGCTAAGCACAACGCTTGTTCGATTCCGCGTCCATGGAGCACCTTGCCCTGAGGCCGTAGAGACAGACCCCACAAAAGAGACACCTTCGACCGCCTCTTTACCCTTGAAACCAAGTCGAAAACAACAAGTCACTCCTACTCCATCCCAGGACTCGAGAGACCAATGTGTTGTCGGTCACGCCCCTGAACAGCCTGTCGAGACGCCCTCGGATGAAACACATGAAGAACAGCCTGTCCCAGAACTCTCTTCCCGCGAGCGAGATGCCTTGGATGACATGATCGAAGCAGCTAAAGCCGCAAAGGACTTGGTGAGTGTCGACGCGCTATCAACCAATATGACTGCTGACCCAAATGCAGCCTTTGGACCCTCTGGAGGAAGGCTCCGTCGAAGCAAATGATACGGAGGCCTCGGACGCGTCCGATACAGAATCGACAGGGAAGAAAGAAAGACATGTGTCTAAAGAGGACAAGATGGTAGAGGCCTGGCAGCAGAAATTTGCTTGCATGCAAAAACATGATTCAAATTCCAAGCTAGACAACCCGAACAGTAAGACCATCGAAGTCCTACAGCAAATGCTGGACTACTATACAAGGACATCGGATCAGTGGCGTACGTTGGCCTATCGAAAAGCCATCGCTGCGCTTCGCAGACAACCGAAAAAGATCGTCACCAGAGCGCAGGCGCGTGCTATCCCCGGCATAGGCCCGCGCTTAGCAGACAAGATCGAGGAGATTGTGTTTACCAACCGGCTTCGTCGTTTGGAAAACGCAAACAATACGCCCGAAGATCTCATACTACAGGAATTCTTGGGGGTCTACGGTGCCGGCATATCGCAGGCGTCTCGATGGATTGCTCAGGGCTACAGGTCGCTGGATGATCTCAAAACCAAAGCATCATTGACGAAGTCACAGCGGATTGGAGTGGAACACTACCACGATTTTGCCCAGCGAATTCCGCGGCGTGAAGTCGAAGCCCACGGAGAAATCGTCCGAAAGGCGGTCCAGAGGGCGGACCCTGGGATGCAGGTCATCATCGGTGGTTCTTACCGGCGTGGGGCGCCCGACTCGGGTGACATCGATCTGCTCATCACAAAAGGCGATGCTACTATTGAGCAGATCAGGGCGATGATGATGGACATTGTGATTCCTCGACTCTTTCAAGACGGCTTTCTTCAGGTCAGTCTCGCCAGTACCTCCCGAGGCGACGGATCCAAATGGCACGGAGCGTCTGTGTTGCCCGGCAGTAAAACGTGGCGCCGCATTGATCTTCTATTTGTACCTGGATCAGAAATCGGGGCCGCGCTGATTTATTTCACCGGGAATGACATATTCAACCGGAGCATGAGACTGCTGGCGAGCAAGAAGGGGATGCGCTTAAACCAACGAGGACTTTATGCAGATGTATTACGTGGAGAGCAACGGAGGAAGCTAAACGAAGGCCGGCTGCTTGAGGGACGCGATGAGAGACGGATCTTTGAGATTCTCGCGGTTCCATGGCGACCTCCCGAGCATCGCATATGCTGACGTATCAGGCGGAATTGCGATTATAATGATTGATGACTGATGACCGATGATGATGACTGGATGACAGCATGATAGGTCACGTAGGCCTAGGGAGCTCTTGAATAGGAACTATTTGCTTTTTCCTTTTCTTACCTTGCTTCTCAGGATTCAAGCAGTCTAACTTTCCTCGTTGACCGGATTTCAGCAGGCGTAAGGCAGACTTCACTCATCTCTGCAGCGAGCCGGTAATTCCTGCTGTTTTTTTTACGGACTCGATAGAATAAGGAATAGCGAGTACCTACTACTGTCGATTCCGATGCAGGGTATGGCCTTGGCTGTCAGCTCGAGGGCAAAAGGCGGTCTCTAGATGGATATGCATCTCTACTATTGTGCAGTGAGTTGATATTGGAATTGGATACCGTGTTATTCTGGGGGTATGTGGACTGTGGACTCTGTACCTGGTACAGCAGAGGCGAAGAACCATACAAGGAAATGTGGCCAAGGAGACTCGAGTGGTAGGAGTTCTCTATGGAGTCTCCTCCATCATAGATGCTTTCCATGACAAAGTCTAAAACATCCATGTCCACGAGAGACAACAATAATAATAAATTAAATAAAAGACACTGACCGACCTCATCACCGACATCATCACCGCCTTGCATGCGGTGAAGCACATCCCAGTAGCCACAGTGAAGCTGCCAGGCGGCAGGCCCCAGACCGCCTGTGAAGAAGCCATTTTGCCGCTACCTCGCGAATTATTGCTGCTCCATCCCACTCCTCCATCTCCTCCTCCTCTTCTTACCATCCTCTCAATCTCAATCCAAGCAGTCTTCAGTTCTTTGTTTTTACAGTAATATTAACTTGATAGGCTCTTCCTGCTGGTAGGCATTGCCACAGGACGGGTCAGGCTCTTGTGTTGCTCACGTCGCGAGGATCTTTTTTTGCCATCGATTCCACCCCTCGTCTGAGTCTCACCTGTGCGTCACAACAGTTAGTGATCCTGTGCTATCATACAGTTTTCTGTGATTCTTTGTGATGGATATGGACTCTTGATACTAATTAGCTATTTTATTGCAGATTGAAAGTGTAGAATCCGTTGTTCGTCATTTCTGTCGAGGTCATCCTGACTGGTCGCACACTTGTCCACACGCGCTCGCCATGGGTCGCAAACCAAACCAACTCATCCTCGAATTTTTCATTCGAGGCCAAAAGCTCGAGGACGCCAGTAATCGCTACCAACACACGTGCAGAGCCTGCGGGGAGAAATTCCCCAAAGGTCGCATCGACAGCTTGACCAACCATTTGGTGAAGAAGTGTCAAGCGATCCCGCTGCGTGACAGACAACGCGTTCTGCTGCGACTCCACGAGCTCCCTGACCTTGCCGACAGCGATCAGAACAAGGACCCCAACCTGGCGGGCCAGAGCAAAGGCAAATCAGTTGATCTGCCATACACGACAAGACAGAATTTTGATGGCCTGAATGTGCTGGCAGAAGCCTCGAGACAGGTCGGCGCCTCCGACCAGACCAAACATGGTGGCCCTGCATATGCTCAGTCTGTCACTGTTGGGGGTAAGACTGTGGTTGTTGACCCGGCGCTCGAGGCCGAAGGTTTTCAGGGTCATCCTACTCAGCCAGAGCATATTGAGGAGGACATCAAACCGCCTGGTAAGATTCTTCTCTTTCGTTTTACCCTAGGATCACCGGGTTTTGTCAATCTCGTTCCCTTGTTTGGTGTCACGCGCTAACATGATTATTGTACAGGAACCCCCCAGCTTTCGGCTGCCACGGCCATTCCTTCCCTTCCTAGCAATTCGATGAATGACCATCCTTCCTCTGCGTCGCCTCCGCTGGTGGAACCTTCGTTGACCCCCGATCCCACCTCCAATGCTCGCCAATCGCAGCTGTCTATGATCGCCGCATCGGCCAGTGAGATGGTTCCTCAGGGCATCCCGATGGATCATGATCCGAACGCTCTCATGTCGGATGGCCTGCCCAAGCTTGGCTCATCCCCGTGGAACCAGCAGCTTTCGAGTCATGAACAGCTTCTCTTCGACAGTCTTCAGGAACATGACCCTACTCTTACCGCCGCAACTCAACGTGCGGCCTCGTTCCCTCGTCCTATTGCCATGAATCCAAACTCTCAGGCCAAGGGGTTTGTCAATGAGTTTGGGAACGCGACCAAACCGACTAAGCCCAAGGTGCGTGGTCGCTTTTCCGCCGCGAGACGCAGGGAGGTGCAAGAAGTGCGCAAACGAGGAGCTTGTATCCGCTGTCGCATGCTCAAGAAACCGTGCTCCGGCGACAGCCCCTGCACGACCTGCGCCAGTGTTGAGAGCGCGCGTCTCTGGAAGCATCCATGCATTCGCACTCGTATTGCAGAGGAATTTGAGCTTTACAACGCAAATTTGCATGCTACCCTCGCATATCACGATGTCAGCAGTATAAAGAATCAAGTCAAATTCGAGCACTATGCCGGCCGCATCGAGGTTACCCACTTTGAGGAGAGTATGGTCTACATCACTTTCAGTGGACTTCAAGGCCACAAGCCATCGATGTCGACGCTTGACCCTCAGCTTCAAGGTCTTGGAGACGATCCGCAATTCCAGGGTCCTCTGCACGAACTTTACCTGCTCGACAGCGATGCCGATGACCTTCCTGGAAAGATTGAAATGTACATCAAGAAGACAGCGCCTTTTTTCTACGAGCGGGAGACTTCTGACATTGTCAAGTCCACCCTGATGCTCGCGTCGGAGTTGAGTCAGCAGAAGAAGGTAAGCATCCGTTTGACGCATTGCGACTTATGTCTGACATATGTAGGATGTCTTGTTGGAACGAGTCCTAGAGTTGTGGGTTGCAACGCACATCCTGGTCGACTCGGAGCTTCGCTGGAAAACATACTGCAACCCAACCCTGCCACCCACCTCGATGCACTCTCTCGCACAGCCGTCAGATGACGGCCGCATGCCTATTGACGAGGTTACCAACGCCGAATCCTACGGGCTCCTTTGCAACCAGTTGCGCGCCGCGACCGAGAAGCGGGCCTCTCAACTGAGCAAGTCTGTGATGAATGACCTGGAACGTAGGTTACTGCAGCGCCAGCAGAGCGGCTGGTTCGAGACATTCCTGGTTGCGCTCTTGCTTCTGAACTGCGTTGAGCGAACTTGCTGGCTATTCCGTTCCTGGGATGACGAGAATTTTGCGCAGCGGGTAAGTCATTTCATTGCCCGTAGTCTATGTTGTATCTAACACGGTTACAGTGGCCCCTGGACAAGCGTCCTCCATACTATGCCAGCCAAGGCGATCGCTTCTCTGACATTCTGCACATGTTGCTGAAGATGCGCAGCTTGCCCCCTAAGGCGGCTCCGGGAACAGATGGGATTTTGAAGGCTATGGACGGTAGTGACGAGAATGCAGCTCGCTGGTTTGACATGATCAAAATCACTCGTAAGTAAGATGAACCCTCAACGAGGGCTGTGAGACTAACTCTTCGAAGCTCTCTATCTCGAGCAACGCCAGGCCGCGGTTTTCGATCCCAACGACTCTCGCTCTCTCGATCTCCGCTATGGTGCCAAGCTGCTTCCCCCGACGAATGTTTACACGTAAGCGGTGCAAGCAAAATTGATGTGATCATGAAAATTAGATGAAGCGGTTTGCGATTGGTTTGTACTAGTGAAGTTCGGTGGGAAGGTTACCTATGAGGCGGCTCAATCGATTTGTCTGTCCTTTTCTACCTTGTGCTTTGTAGCCCTACCTTCAAGAAGGATGTATGTTTATTTAATGTATGAGTTACTGTCACTTTAATATAATATGAAGTAAATTCGAGAATATGGCGCACATGAAAAATATAGAAAAGCAGCAAATGCACGCCAAAAAAATTCTCCCCGACAGGGAGTCGAACCCTGGTCTCCCGCGCTCGTTCTGGTTGGAGTGACAAGCGGAAATCATGACCGTTAGACCATCGAGGATGGGGATACTCAGCTTGCCGAGTATAGCTTAATAAACTTAAACACCACAAGCGATTGATCAAATAGTTGTACAGCGCATCTAACCCTTTCATCAATGATGAGTTAAAATAGCTCGCCGATCAGTAGGTAGATACCTAACTAACACATCGCATACAGCACTAGCAGCAGCAGCAGCAGCAGCAGCAGCAGCACAGGACCTTTAGAATCCTAGTACAAGTCTAATCCATCAGATAATCTACTATCATAGTATGTATCACCAAGTCGAAACGATATCATCATTCATTCCCCACAAGCAACGCGCACAGATCCGATCCACAGATCTCGAGCGCCTGCGAGAGATGCTCGTTTATGCGCGACATGTCTCTTGAGACCCAGCTGATGGAGCCGGGTATGCTGTGATGGGGTGTGTTTCTTGAGTCTTTGGTTTCTGTGTCTGTTTCTGCTTCTCCTTGGTTCTGGTTCTGGTTCTGGTTCTGAGGATCAGTTTGGGGCTTGACCTTGCGTGTGGAGTTATAACGTTCGAGGAGGACGAAGTGGTCTATTGATTTTGAGTCATTGGTGGTTGTGGTTGTGGTTGTGGACCAGGTATTCGTAAATTGACTTCATTATCATCAGTAGTGTTGGCGTGCAGACGGGTGGGGAATGGTGGGGAACATACTACCCCGTGTAAACTGCCATATCACTCGTCAGGGTCTCAGTGAGCGATGCGAGGAGGTCAGGGATGAGGATTGGATCGGCTGGGGTATTGTGGAGGAGAGGCGAGTCAGGGGAGACGGGGAGGCCTGGTCTGTTGATGAGCCAGTATGTTTCTGTTTCGCCCCATTTGCGGAAGATGAGGAGGAGGTATTCCATTGTTCAGGGTTGATACCGGTGTTGTTTTGTAGAGGACGTAGTCATGTTGGCGATTGTTGACCATAGCGGTGGGATAGAGGACAGAGATATAAGATCGTGAATGATGCATTACGCATAACACGGAGTGAACGGACTCGGTCTTATCCAACTACAACGTACAAAGGGGATACAAATCATCACATCGTCATAGCATACAATAAGTATACAATCCACCATCCAGATCATCACGATATACCCTCCTCCCGAGTATGACTGTGGGTCTGCTCCAGCAACACAGCATAATACTTGCCCTCTTCCGAGGTATCATGGTATGGGCCAGCCGCCAGAACCGCCCTGTCAGTAGCATCAGTCCTGCCTATATAGATATACATATATGTATAAGGAAGGTATAGCAAAAGAGAGGAAACATACCACCCCTTATACTTAGGCTGGTTGAAAATCTCCGTAAACGCCCTCAGAATCCGCAAGGGGAGTTCCAGGATGGAGGGCAACTCTGGCCCGGGGCCGCAGATGGGCAGGCCCAGTTTGTTGACGGGGAGATAGACGATTTCGCTCATGTTGCTTGGGTTGCGGGCTTCCTGGAAGATGAGGAGGCGGCGCGAGAGGCGCGCTGGATTCATTGTGTTTGTGTTGTTGTCTCTGGCGCTGAAGCTGCGTAGGCTTGTTGTTGAGTTGGTTGATTTGATGAGGGTGGGATCGAGGTCCATGGTCTATATTCACGGGTGGTGGATGGTGTTGTTGTTGGGTGCGTTCGTGCGCGAGTGAATGACTTTCTGCATTAATATCATTCAATGTTGACAATATGTACGCTCTGTATAGGGGTGTGTCGAGCCGCAGAGCTCGACTCAGGCGATAAGCTCGAAATGACTGAGTCCGGAATTACCCCTTATATGACCATAGTGGATTTGTGATTCGAGAATAATCTGATTATCCAATCCATAAACCATCGATTGTCTCAAGCATAAATGGATGTTTGGCGGGGTTAGGCGCGTTGATACGCGTCGAGCCCACGTGTTTAGTGGGGTTCTTGATTGATAACAATACTACGGAGCATCAATGATCATGACAATCACTGTATAAAGGCGTTTTAGATTTGAGGATGATTGATACATCTGATATAAGTACGATTCGATGCATAAACATCAGTTGAGAGAGACTAAGCATTATGCCAGTGGACATAGAAGTAATATATACAGCGCAAGTTCAAGACAAAGGGTATCATGAAAACGCCTCGAACCATCGCAAATGCAAGTCGAGACAGGCCACCCAGCAACATAATCAATCATCATCCACATGTCTCGGTGCCGCTGAATCTACTTCCAGCAAAATCAAGCGTCAAGCTCGCCATCCAACACCCTCCGAGCCGCGTCCAACCGCCGTCGCAAGACCCGCTCCCTCTTCGGATCAGGCTCGGCAGAGGCAGTAAGCGTCTGTAGGTCCACACAGACCTTCCCCAGGCTTTGAAACAATTGCTCCAAGAGCCGAGTATCATCGTTGTTGAGTCCAGATTTCCCGGGCTGTGTATTCGGGTGAGGGCTTGACGCAGCGCGCACTGTCGACACAAGCGAGGAGACGATGGAGCTCGTGGCCGAATCTGACCGCTGAACAGGAGAAAAGGTTCTCGACGAGGCGTCCGTTCCATTCATGGTCCCGCTGTGGTGCGCCTGCTTTCGTGAAGCACGGGGTGTCCCCATGGATGCCGAATCGCTAGCCGGTTGTGCAGGCTCAGTATAGCGCTGACGGCTCCGCAGTTCTGCTGACGTTAGTGACTACTGACTTCTCCTTTAGCTAGCTCGAAGACCTACCGTCGTTGAACTTCTTGTCCCAGTAGAGAACACTCTCGATATCGTCGTCGCCCTCGATGGCTGTGGCAAACGTTGCAATGGTGGACAAGGAGGCCGTACTGTCAGACCGTGAATGGCGAGTCCCCGAAGCTTCATGGTAGGGTCGTGTGGTTTCGACGGACGAGGTCGACACATTGCTGGTGCGGCGCAGTTTGCTGCGCGAGTAATTGCCCAAGGCGCTGTGAAGTATGAAATGCTCATAATCAAACGCGTCCTCGCGCTCCTCGTGCGGTGTCATTTCGGTATGCTGAGGCACAGCTGGAAAGGCCTCCAAAGACTCTTCCAAGTCCTCGTCGTCCAGGGGCTCGCGAAGTATCTCCTCCAAAGCTTCACGGTCAATGTCCGACCCCGAGGAACTGTCCCTGTCGTACTCCCCCTCCTCTGCATCCTCATAGAGGCTCTCATTGAGCGAAACAGCATGAGAAGCAGCACTCGGCTTTCGCTGAAGCTTTGATTCTGGTTGCTCGGTACGATGGTTTCTCTGGTCGTGCGTAAATCCATTTCTTACGGTCTCAGGTTCCTGACGTTCCTGGTGGTGATGGTTCTCCTGTGCCTCAGTACGCCCACGTCCCTGATTTGACCGGAGACTCCCATTGCTGTTCTTGAGTTCCAACGCGCTCGGATACCACTGGTCCCCCTCGGTGAACGGACTCGGCGTCCTCAAGCTCTGCAGGCTTCGCCGCCGGAGATTGTCCTCTTGAGCTTTGACCTTCAGACTGGAAATCTTGATGTGGAGCCCCTTCATCTGGTCCTGGAGATCTCGCACCTGAAGCTGCGACTGTGCGCGAGAGGGAGGATCGTGAGGGGGATGCTCAGAGTTGAATTCTTCATATTTGTACGTTTTCTCAGATTCCACGTCGGGGCTTGTGATACCTAGGCCCTTCGGCGTCTCGGAGTCGTTCCCACTCTGTTTGACAGAGTGTGCGCGTTGAATCGAGCCCGGTGGTTGCATTGATGAGACAGAGGCACGATGAGTGAGATAAGCCCGGGTTGTGTCATAGTGAAATGACCGTTCATCATTGTGAAAATTGGAGGAAGTGCTCGATCCCATGGCGCTCATGGATCGTGACAAACTAGGCCCGGTAGTCGGCGGCTCGGACGGCGCTGTTGACGGTAAGTTGGTTTCACTGTAAACCCGCGAATGTCCGTTGTTGGCCGAATCTTGCGACGAGGTGTACGTCGACCGAGGGCGCAGCGCCGAAACCCTGCGGTCCGCTCGGGAGATCGACTGGTATAAACCCCCGACGGGCTGCCCGAGTCCCGATGGCTGAGTGCCAGCAGCCGGCGATGGTGAGGGTGAAAGCGAGGGCGACAACCGTATCGACGATCGGGCACGGGTGAGGTTTCCTTCCATGAGCTGCAGCCAGGTTAGTCCAGAACATTTCGTCGCTGACTGCACAACGCACCGTGAGTTTCTTCTTGGCATTTTCGAGGATGCGCTCCGCTTCACTTTCCAAGATGGCCGATGACAACTCATCATCTGGTCCCTTCTGCTGGGCAACCGACATCACGCCCGGAACTTCCTCACTGTCCAAAGCCCCCGACGGCCCATCCGCGTTGTTCTTAGTCATCTCCTGCAGCGGCGGCTCACTCACGCTTACAGCGCTGATTGTTGACCCAGAAGAGCTACTCCACGCCTTCTGGGCTCTCGTCTCCTTCTCCCCGCACCCATACAATACAGGAGAACTAGCCAATCTCGGTGCGGAACCATGCGATGCCGGACTCAGATTCCCAGAACCGTCCCCCTTGCGCGGCGACGACCCGGTATCTTCCTCCCCGATGTCCGAAAGACGACGACTCGCGTCGCGACTATCCTGCAGCCACGTGTGTCGCGGAAAGTTCTTCTTCTGCGGCCGCACGGAGGGACCATAGGGTGCGCCATGCGAGTTATCGGTGCCGGGTAAACTCGGCAGGGGTTTATTCACGTAGAATGCTTGGAGATGGGAAAAGGAGGGCAAGTTGAATGGCGGAGAGGGGGTGGAGGACTCGCGCTCGCCTTCGTCGAATGGCAGGATCATATCTGGATTCGATAACGTGGGGGACGGTGGGATGATCGGGGGAGACTGTTGATGTCGATGCTGCCGGGCATTGCGCCCAGAGGATGCACTATCCAGCATTGATTTAGTGATGGGGTAATTTTCAGGTCGGGGGGACGGTGTAGAACTGGAGAGCGGTCGGCGATGAGTCCACGGTTGAAGACCAGTTATCTCAACATAAGGCCATCTGGGATCGACAGGCGAGCGTTTCAACCCAGAACCTGCAGGTTGAAATGAATGAAAGGGATGGCAAATTGGCAATGCGATCCTGATCCTGATCCGTCTATGCAGGCGCGAACCAGTTCCGAGACAGTAATTGATCCGCTTCGACGGGGCGACAGAGAAAGGCGGAATTTACAAATTAGGATTAAGAATTAATGACGAGAGAAATGGTTCGCAAAGGAAGCAAGGAAGACAAGACAAAAAAGAAATGTCGTAGGCGTGACGGATTGGGAGGGAGACGACATGGCTGTCTTTCTTTTTTCTCCAATAACCCTGAACGAAGTCAAAAGTCAAAAAGTCTAGTACCTAGTTAGTTAGTTAGATGGAGAGTATCATAGATAGTAATCGTCCTAAAAGGCCTTAGGAGAGTCCATTCTTTTTTGCAGCCAGGCCCAAAGAGGCAGGGATCCGTGCCTGTTAGATCGTCGGCCGTTCAGGACAAATTTAAATCCAATTTCGCTTGAAACAGTTGGGCATGGAAAAGAGGACTCCTTAACGGGAGAGCAAACATGTAGATATGTTGTGGGTCATAATGACGGTGTTGAAGTCATACCATGACTTTACTCAAAAGTAGACATGCTGTAGCTGTAGCTGCAGCTGTATCTTCATCAGGAAGAAACAGTGTCCATGGCACTATGGTCTATGGTCAACATGCAGGAAATAAAGATCATCGTCAATTAGATTGTTCTAGATAGATGCCGTTTTAGTTTGTTTACTTTACTGACTGTTAGTCTGTTACCCCTGAACCACGGCCCATGGATGCCTCTCCGCTGGTTCCGCTCTTACTCCCCTCTATCTATCTATCTATCTATCTATCTATCTACTCTATCGAGGCTGTATTTGGATATCTCCTGAGTCTGAGTCGTAAGGTCTCGAAGCATTAAGCATCTAATGTAAACCTTGTAATGAAGTTAAATCGACCGTCTAACTCATTGCCATGTGGTAACCTCAAGCTTAATTGCATCGAGTTTTGGACGTGTCAACTGTCTGGCCACTTCAGAGAAAGAGGCACGACTCCATTGTGAGTCGGGAGACTGCTGCAGTTGAATATCATGCTTTTGATTGGCCCTAGTAGTAATGATAGACCCTGTACAAAAATCCTTGATATATGGCGATATAAGAAAGATCCAAAACAGATCGGCCAGTCCCATGTACGATTCAACCAGAATTACAATATGCTTTTTAATATCCGCCTGCCGAATATACAACAACTCATCGAATCTTCTCCAGTAGCAGTTTGGCTCCGCTGCTGGTCGGTCCAGCCTTCTTCTTCTCATCCTTGCCGCTCTCCGCGGCCGCCTGCTCCAGCGCCTTCTTGCCCTTCTTCAGCGTCTTCAAGAGCTCGTCCTTCTTAGCAAACTCGTCCGACTCCGTCAGCGCAACCACAACGAACGTATTGGCTCCCGTGGCCCACGTCATGATCTCGTCCTTGATCTGCTCGTACAGCAGGGCATAGAAGTTCAGAGGCGGCTGCACCTTCTCCACCACCTTCTCCGCGGTATTGAACCGACCCCCCTGGACCAGCGACTTGAGCAGTCGTCCGAAGAAAGGCGAGTCCTTCATGTCCGATTTGGCTTTGGCGGCGGCGGCAACGGCCGATAGCGCGGCGGTCTTGTCACCGTCAGCGTCGAACAGCACCTCGGCGATAAATTGGCATCCGAAGCTGGTCTCCAGCAGAGACTCGGCGCGAGCGGCTATGAAACTGAGCAGAGTGGGAGATGCCGCCTTGACCAGCTCCTGGCGACGGACATCAGGCTCCTTCTTCGAGGTCTCCTTTCGGATCTCCCGAATCTCCTTCAACACTTCCTGATCGACCTCTGGTACAAGCCACTTGACGCGGTCTCCAGCGAAGGGAAAGAGGATCGGTATCCGCGCCGTAAGGTCGTTAACCTGATAGAGCAGCTCCTCATTGCGCGCCTCCTCTTCCATCCCTTGGTTGAGAAGCTCGGGGAAAATCAACTTTGACGTCAATTTGGTGTCGTCAATGACTTCGTATGCGGCCAGGAGAACCATGTGGCCGTGGAGGTCTCCGGCCATCACCTTGACGGTATCGCGGTAAGCGCGAGTGAGCAGCTTCCGATCCTTGGCGTTGGAGTAGGCCAAGCTCAGACACATTACTCGCGAGCCAGACTTGGTGAAAGCCAGGTTCTTCAGAAGATCTCCCTCTTCATCTCCCTTGAGCAGCTCAATGAACTCGTTGGCCTCCGAACTGCCAGGTTTTGTGTTGAGGAAGTACTGAAGCATGGCGTCGTGCAGCATCGTAAACCCAGTCGTCCGCTTCTGCACCAGCTGGTTGATCATCTCGTGCAGGAAGTGCATAATGGGTGACCTCTTCTCGGGGTTCTTCTCCAAAATCTTCGAAAGCTCGGCGGATGCCTGTTCATCCTTGAATATCGAAAATTCGGGGCCATACCACTCCCGAAGAAGCGTTGCCTTTTGTTGCTTGGTCGCAACCGTCCGGTAGACATCGTCCAAAATCCAAGATCCTTCAGGGTGGCGAATAAGCCGCTTAACGTGTCCATAGAACTCCGGTATGATCAGATCGCGTACCTCGGTATCACCATGAACAAGCAGTTTGCCAACTAGGAACTTGGCGTAGCGGCTCTGGGCCAGGTCGTTGTAGTGACCCTTGAGTTCCTGTGCGATCTGCTTCCGCTGCTCGAGGTTGGCGTACTTCAGAGCCGTCTGAATGACCCGGACGGAATCGTGCTTGAAAACAAAATCCCTGACTCTCCCATTGATGATCTCAAAAAGCTCGGCAATGAGTTTCTTCCGTTCCTCAAGCGGGACGTGAGACTTGCGACGCAGACGTTCCCACAGCTGCTTTGAACGAGCTATGATGTCGGCATTAGGCTTCGCGGCTTTTCGCTCTTGTAGAAGGGTCTTCTGCTTTGCATGTGCTTCGCGAGAGGAATTGTTATCTAGAAAAGAAAGTATGTCAGCCCAAGTAATCCGAGACGAAAAATTCAGATGGTCACCATACTCTTCGGGGGCTCTGCTTTCGTTGAGGCAGCGGGCGCCTTGGCCTTGTGCTTCTTCTCCTCCTGAACGTCTCCCTCCTCATCATCGTCACTCGGACTACCCATCTCGACATCCTCATCATCATCCTCATCAACCTCCGAGTCCGCAATATCATCGATATCGAAGTCATCCTCGTCATCGTCAAAGTCCTCCTCTTCCTCCTCTACCTTCCTCTTAGACTTCTTGTCCTTCTTCCCAGACTTGACAACCTTCTTCGAACTCTTCTGCGCGACAGACTTCTTCACTGGCGCGGATTTGGCCTTTTTGTTTGTCACGGGCGTAGTCTTGGTCTTGCTCCGCTTCCCATTGCGCTCGTCGCCGGCATCGACGGGACGTTTTACGCCGACCATATTGTCGACTTTGTAGGCGGTGTTGGCGATTAAATATCCAATGAATTTGAGGGTGCTGGAAGGATTGCTTTGCTATACCCCGTACCGCTGGCTAGATAAATTTTCGTGAGCTGTTTCTGCCGGAGAAAAGTCGGTTCACTTTTTTTTGTCTCGAGGGCGGTCGGCTTGTGTTTGCATTGTTTGTTTCCCCGCCGATAAGGATCAGGCTTGATACGAGTACATAGAGATAGAGAGGTAGATGTGTTTGGATATGTCATGTACAGATTAAAACCGAGGCAATGACATGGGGATATGCCAGAATCTCTCGAATAAGACAAAAGGCCATACCGCATACAGCACATGTAATATAGGTACACAGAGAACAAAATGCGCCCGGGTTCCAAATCCCGGCTGCCACAAAGCAGTCAAACACCAAGGAATCCGTTCTCCCGACGCTTAAAAATCAATTCAATTCCCAATGAATTATTCATAAATGAGTTGCGTGACACATCTCAGGCGGTCTCGGCTCCTGCACTGACAGGTGGCCTGATCGTACCTAACTCAGATTCGAGAGTGGTGGATCCCTTTTTCCTGCCAGGGATGTGAAATCCAAGGTGTTGCGATGCAGGTTTCGTGTTTCCAGATGCCTGCGACTCGCCAGAGAAATCGCTAAACCGAGAGAAGATGCCTCTCTTTTTGGGTTTAACCTCTTCGTCGTCAAGGCCCACATCCTCAAACTTCTCTTCTTCCATAGCCTCGGGCTTCGAGAATCCGTTCGTGTGCGACGTAGATTGCGACGTCATGCGGGAGAACCGTGAGTCTAGTGAAGTTCGAGAAGGCATTGTGTCGGTGTAGCTCACTGGAGAGCGAGCGGTAATATCCTAGAACACCCGGAGTCAGCCGACATACGCCCCAGGTAAATAAAGTGACCTGCCAACTCACAAATGACCGCCGGTACGAATCGAATGATTCGCGGGATATTGAGAAGGGTTCATTATCGTCAACGAGATCTCGATGATTTGACGATCGGTTCGGACCAGGATATTTCTTCCAGAAACTCTGCTTCTCTGGGGGCGAGGGCTGCGATTGACAATCCTTAGTTGTGGAATCCTGGGACTTCAAGAACAGTTGGGATGCAATTACCGGCAGATAAGCACCGTTACCGTCGACAACTGTAGATTAAGGAATCAGAAACCTCGACTGTCATAGGGCGCTAGGGATTGTTGCGAGTATGAAAGCATACCACTCAATTTATATTCGGGGGGTTCTTTTTCGTAGCTGTTTCTGATACTCAACGGATTGGAGTGATGACTCTCTGTGGACACCCGGTTGTCTTCGTGGATGTTCTCGATCTCCCCACCATTGGGGGCCGCCGACCTTCTGCTCAGGAAGTTACGAAACGGAGCCATGCTGGAATGAGATCTAATTCAAAATCGCGGAAGTAGTCAGATATAGGGCTTGTCCCAGATATTTGGAGTGTAAGTGTGCAACTGCAAGGGGATCTGATTGATTAAAGGACAGGAACAGTGCAACAACCCCCCAATCTCACATGATCGGCGGCAATGGGGTCCCGTTGGTACAATTTATGAATGTCTTTCTTGGATGACGATCTTAGCGGCAACACATTAACCAGAAGTAAGGCTCGAGTCATTGCGCTCCCTCACTAGTTGTAGCTAAATCGGACGATAATTTGCTGCTAATCCAGCCGTATACGTCAAAGATTCGGCATCCCCAGAAATCCTTTTTCCTTGTTTCTCATTGAGACAAGGAAGGAGATTATTTATCCCTCCCATGATGTACGACTTTAGGCGCCCCACGTCTTTACAGTTTGCGCTTGCAATTGGAGTGGTTGGTTCCCACTTTGAAAAATCCAGCATTTTTCACGGGAACCAGCGTTGATTGTACAGACTGCAGTGGAGGGACCGAAAGTGGAGCAGGGAAGGAGTACGGGACGTGGATACACTGAACTGTAAGGATCCTCGGAAGTAGTTCACGCCTGCCTCGTGGCTTCATTATTGAAAATGCCTCTTCGAATCAACAAAACCATCTGAGATTATAGGTGGCAATTGCATCAATACATAGGTACTCAGGTACGGAGTACCTCGGTTGCGTACTGTCTCGGTAGGGAAATTACACCCATATGCTTTATGCATGAATGTCCGACGAGTAAGTACTTACTATACGTAGTAGTAGTAACGTAACTATATAGTAACTAGTAGGAGTTTTGATGCTTTTTGTACTGCACGTGATACATGAGCTGGTGATACTATCATGATGTTATTGTTGCTTTTCAACGACTTCATTCTCACGAGACGCTTGCCATCGTTTCCGGTCATAGTTATCAGCGTATTGGTTAGGTTACTGTTCGAGATTCTCCTTATAGAATTCACCATGCACTCGACTCATCGACAGGCAAAATTCATTGCCTCGTCGCCTGCAACTTTACAGTAATTTGGACTGAGAAATAATGGTATCCCGGATGTCATTTACCATAAGTGACCCTTTCTCCAGGGAGGGGAAGTCACCTTATTTGGGATCTCGGCTGGAGGGTGATTCCGTCTCAGGCTGGTCGAGTACGGAAACGAGGACAGGAGCATCGATAATATCCAAGTAGGGGCAAGAGTATATAGGTACTCCTATAAGCATCAGGTCTCGATTGTAACCCCCGCATGCATGTAGCTCTCTGGTGTGTCTGGATGTGTATTCATATATGCCTGCACGGCAGATAGCTACTGGTATTTCGTAGTAGAAGAGCCGGCTAATGCGGAGTATGGATATGCATTATACAGACAAGGTGTATCCAGAAGGCCAGTAGAGAGTGAAGCCTATAGACTAGCTTCCCCGGACGTTTAGAAAACCTAACTGCCGCGAACGGCCAATGTCCATGGGGTGGTTTCGATATTGGCAGTCACCATGGAGTAACCCAGGGTGAATTGGGCAATTGCCCAATCTGGACATGAGCACACTAGGATTAGGGAAGAACCTCAGTGTATGCACTTCATCCCAACTCTCTGTATAGGGTCAGAGTGCTTGAGGTTGGACTTGGGGAGCGACCTGGCATCCTCGATCTTTGAGATTAAGATACCTTTGCTGTGAGTGAAACTTCACTCGTTTGATGGTTTCAGTCGGGTGCCACATCTCTATCATAGTACTGATCTAGGAATATCGGTAGTGACTCCGCAAAATAACGTCCACCATGACGTTCATTTCTCAATTTATCTGCGTCGCCTTTGCTATTCTGCTGGTGGGTGTTGTTCACGGAGTCGATCCTAAATCCAAGATACAACATCTCACAGGCCCTCATGAAGACGGTCATCGGCCCCCCGAGATGGTGGACAGAGCTAGGTGTGAGGTCAGCGCGGAGTGTGACTATGGGCATATTTGCGACGAGCACCTCCTGAGATGCGCGATGGGTTGCAAAAGTTCATTCGACTGCTTCCAAGGTCATACATGTGTGCACGGCAAATGTCTCACGCAACATAATACTGAGTGTGCCGGTTACCACAGGTATTGCTTCGAGGATAGCGATTGCTGCTCGGGTAACTGTCGTGCAGAATTCTGGACGCTTTGGAAGTGGTGTGGGCATGGATGACGGCCTAATTACAATGCGGCCAATATATATTGTGCTGCGTCAATGGGTCTTCAGCAAGGACCATGGTGGTTGGTAATGTGGGAAGCGAAGCGAAATGAAATGCCACGGTACAAGGAACAAAGTATTATTTAATTACATAAGAGGCTGTAACAAATCGCATGGATCGAGAAGATATTGATACTCCCGAATCAGGTGAATCGTTTGATTATAATTGAAGACGGGATTGTTGTGGCTCAAACAATAGTTATGGAGCTTTGGACATATTTTCAACTAGGATAAATTTCCTTAATCTGTCACGGATAACCTAGTGGAAGGCCCGCCGCTAAGTCAGTAACCTTGCTGCGGCATTCGCCAGCGGGAAAGGTGCCCGGTACGAATCCTGGGGTCGTCGCTGTACTCGTGTGAGTAATCCACGATGCTACAAGGCGCTAAGCAATGGAAGTGACCCTTGAGGGAAGCAATTCTGCAGAGACACTTCCACCCTGGGATGGCGTCGCCGGAGGACACCTACTCGTTACAGGGAAATTGGCTGTTTGGCTGGACAACCGCAACTCTCTTCTTTTTGTTTTCTTTTTTTCCCCATCACCGTACTTGATCCAACCGGACTCTATTTATTTACTGCCTTTCATACATTAACCATGTAACTTCCCATGACTGAAAGATTAATTGCTTAATATCCTTGATAGTCATCACATAAAGAATCATTGCTGATAGGGTGTTGTAGCCAGTATAATCAGTCGAGAGGATGCGCAGCTATGATATGCTATAGCAATGTCTTTTATCTTACGATGTTATCTCCTGCATCTACAAATCTGTGGATTTAATCATATGTAGACTCGACACTATGTGCTACGTCGGAAGCTACTGCAGCAAACAGAAACTTCCTGGCAAACGGCGCTCCTTCCATCTCTCCTAGCTACCAAATGCAGGGCTCTGTCTCTCCTGCCCTACGCCATCCTAGCAGGCTGAGATCCCTCCCCCAAGTCCCTTGCCTTATCCACGTCCTTCACATCCCTATAAACCCGCGAGGTCAAATATCGAATTGAGTAGGTACCGGTCATCGTCGCCTCACAGCACCCGTCCTGCCTGTACGCTCGACACCCAGAGATCTCACTGGCGAGAAGCCAGTAAGCATACACGATGCGGTTCTGGGTGGATTGGGCTCTTTGGCAAAAGCTGAGCATGGTAAGTTCGATAAGATCAACGACACAAAGTGATCGAATCTAATGGCAAATGGAACAGGTTCTTGCAGTTCTCCTAGTAGGATCGACTTCCACCATATTCGCAAGCCGGCACTGATCATCTCACAGGCGATCGTCCTCATCTACGCGTTCTGCGTCCTTGCTTATAACCGACGGATGACCAGAAAACATGCCGCCGCTGAAGCATATCAGAGAATAGAGCGGGGCACCGAGCTACGTCCGGTATCAACTGGAGGGAGCGACATACCATTTGGGGCCCGAGCGCTAGAGAAGGGTGTCCAGGTAGATGGTATTTGGATATCTACCAGCAACACATCAAGTCCAGCGCAGCTTGCAACCCCAAACGCAAGCAGGCCGACAACGCCAGTCGTAAAGCAAACACATAAAACCTCGGCTGCTGACACCGCAAGCGATGTGCAATCCCGCTGGCACACGGAACAGTCTGTTCTCAACGCAGCTGGTCGTGACTCTCGACGAACTGTGGCGCCCTCCAAACAGGAGGTCTCGGATAGGAGCAAGTCCAACAGCGGTGATTCCGACAGACTTCCTGAAAATCAGCTCATCCATTCAGATATTGTTACGCCTCAGGAGTCCCAGAGCTCGGTCGGATCAGATAGACGATCATCACGAGGATTCTTCGGCCCACATAGCTCATGGCTAACAAAGTCACCCGAAAAGACCAAGCGGAAGTCGGTTGCTGACGGTGAGTTCATTGAAGCAAATCATATGGCTGCTGTGCTTTGCAAGATGCTAACATATCACCTCTAGCTCTAGGACACCGTCGAGGGCAATCATCGGAAGATTTCAGGCGCAGGATCAGCAGGCTGATCGAGGAAAATATCCAAACTCGTCCGAAAGAGGAATTCCAGCTGAAGCCTCTACCGCGCGATGGCATGCATCGACACAAGTAAGAATTGCTTCCGACCGTTCACAGCCATAATTTTCATTTTGCTGCGTCGTGAGAACAATTACACACGGTATGAAGCAGCAACGTGGTATAGCTTCTCAGGTATCCCGGAGATATGTTCAAAGCAAACTCGGTCCTCGGCTCTGTCAGATAAACCTAACTCGCATTCGTGTATTATGCCACCGCTCACTCATACATACCAGACTGAGATGACTGAGCTCCTTAATAGTCGAGGGTAACAATTGTATCTTATATAGTACAAGCTTGAATAGTCCTTGAGACGGGATTAATGCTCTTCGCTCCTCTAATGATCTCATATCTCGAGTGACAGTTCACAGAGATGGTAGCAATAAGATCTAGGCAACGCTCGTAGTACTCCACTGAGGGAACCGTCCGATAGTTGTATTGAAATCTGGCATTTGCAACCGACCTATGTTATCGCTGTTGTTCGATCTGATCGTTGAGGTTACCCATCCGAGGCAGCCATCAGGCTGACATGGCACGTGACCTCGTGATGGTCAGGACGCGTCCGCGATCTCTCCTATTGTTTAGTTGAGTGACGACCGGGCGATTTGCCACATTAATGAGCTGAAGCGTCTTCTGTTGAGTCATATTTGTCGAATAATCCGTGGCAGTGCCTTTGAGTCTCTGGTTTTCAAGCTGATTACTCCGTGGACTAACGCAGAAACCTACGGATTGACTGAAAAACGCGTCCATTCGCGACAAGACCACTTATTTGTCGGGTTTGTGGAAGTACCAAATCGCCCACACTACTTGATTACTTTCCCCGACAACATTATGGCGGCCGATATGGAGACTCAGAATGAGTATGACGAGAGCGGATTGCCAGGCCCAGGCGCACCCACTCCGCTGTCAGCTCTGGAGGTGAGTACTCGAGGAGGGGGAGGAATACTACGACACCATGTGCCCTTACATCAACACACAAGGAGAATTTGCTGATACAGCCGGTGTAGGGAGTTGCAGGTTTGACCAGTAGAGACATCAAGCTCTTCGTTGATGCGGGCTATCACACAGTCGAGTCAATCGCATATACGTAGGTCTTCCTATGGGTACTTGAGCCCCGCGTAATTCACAGAAAACTACTCACACTTTTGAATAATCCAGCCCGAAGCGATTACTGGAACAGATCAAGGGAATCTCAGAGCAGAAGGCGACCAAAATCTTAGTCGAGGGTGGGCCAACCCAGTCCCCTGAAAATCGGTTCTGTCTGACTTTTACTTTATAGCCAACAAACTCGTGCCAATGGGCTTCACAACCGCCACAGAGATGCACCTCCGACGAAGCGAGCTTATATCGATCACGACAGGATCCAAGCAACTAGATACATTATTGGGAGGAGGCATCGAAACGGGGTCGATCACCGAGATATTCGGGGAGTTCAGGACAGGAAAGAGTCAAATATGCCATACGCTTGCCGTCACCTGTCAACTGCCGTTTGATATGGGTGGAGGCGAGGGCAAGTGCCTCTATATTGATACCGAGGGAACTTTCCGTCCGGTGCGTCTATTAGCGGTGGCCCAGCGTTATGGGCTGGTAGGAGAAGAGGTGCTGGACAACGTCGCCTATGCTCGAGCCTACAATTCGGATCATCAGCTCCAACTACTCAACCAGGCATCTCAAATGATGTGTGAGACGCGTTTCTCACTTCTTATTGTTGACTCCGCCACCTCGTTGTACCGGACGGATTTTAACGGTCGTGGTGAGCTCTCGTCCCGACAGACGCATCTCGCCAAGTTCATGCGGACATTGCAGCGGCTGGCGGATGAATTTGGAATCGCCGTCGTCATTACAAACCAAGTAGTTGCTCAAGTTGATGGTGGTCCAAGTTCGATGTTCAATCCCGACCCGAAGAAGCCCATTGGTGGCAACATCATTGCGCATGCCAGTACGACCAGATTGAGCTTGAAGAAGGGTAGGGGTGAGACCCGAGTTTGCAAGATCTATGACAGTCCATGTCTACCAGAAAGTGACTGTCTCTTTGCCATCAACGAGGATGGAATAGGAGATCCAAGCCCCAAGGATCTGGAGAATGATTAGTCGCGTTATCGGGACCTTTCCACGACGTTCAAGATGCCATGACGTTTCTTCACATTTTACTCAGATACATATAGGTCTTATTCTTTTGTCCTAGCGTGCAATGTACATCACAGAGAGTCTTAATTGATTGATGCGAGCCTGTTCTGAATTTTGACACTTAAGCCGCTGAAAGATTGCCCACGTAAGAAATAGGTAGACTTTTATCTCTTAGCTCGAAGGGCAAAGATTCGTCCGCAAGCAACTATGCAATTTGAGTCAAACTGATCGTTTGTTGTCATCTGTGATCAACACTAACGCCGCGTTGCTGCAACCCGCGCCAAGACCCTGCTTTTTTTTTGAGTAGCAAAAGAGCTTCAGCTTCCGCCTTTCAACTCCGCCAAATCGCAACACTTCATCTGCCTCGATAATCGGCCATGGAGGCTTGAGATCACCATTTAAATATCCGTGGAAGGTGGTCTAGTGTCAATCCGCCATGGCGAAAATTTATAAGGACACAAGAGTCGACCTTCGGCCATACTCGCCGAACGCCGTCGCCAACATCCAGATTCCAAACCAAGAGAGCTCGCGGAACCGCGCCCGATTTTCGATAGCCTCATCCTTCGCCGGTCCTGAAGAACCAGCAGCGAAGGACGAGGAGGAGTTTTCTCGCCGATACCTAGCTACACAAGGGTCAATTTACTTCCGGAAACACAAAGTCTATCCCCGAACCTTTCTCTGGCGGGTGGTTAATGACAACAAGGTCCTGGAGATCCAGTGCGTGGATTTGACAAAGGGAGGAATTGAGCATCATGAATACGATATCACATTACGCTTCGACTTCCAGGAAGAGATTCTTCCAGCCGGAGTTGATATCGCTGACTTGGAGGATCATGATGTGTTAAGCGTGTTTGTGATCACGGCTTCCAAGCAGCTACACACGGTGACTCTGCGCCCGGAGTTCTTTCGACGACTAGCAGCAATTGACGAGAATGTATCTGACTGGTGCAAATCGTGCACACCGGCACCTCTGGCTTTTTCTCATCCTCATCGGTTACATGCGAGCAGTCCGCTCGAGTTGTTTATTTCCCTTGATAGCGGCGCGCTGCTGCGCCTGACTAGGAGGGCTGGTGACGATGGTACTTCCCCTCCCGACACCTTCTCCCCAATGCAGGTAGTGTGATACTAACTTTTCTGTGCTTTGAAAGGTTCACATTGGACTCCTTTGACATTTGACGAGAGAACTTGGGGGGCGTCGATTCGCGGTCTCGTCCGATGGCATGCGCAACCCACGATCAAATACCAGGGACGCAACCTCGATGTGAACGCGGCCAATGCGATCGCCACTACATCCGATCAAACCTATGCATTCGCAGTTTGCTTGAACCACACTCTGAAGATATGGAATCTCGCTACGAACAGACTAGCCGCCACGAAGGACCTCTTGGACCGACCAGTACAACAGCAGGAATCTGCTTCATACTCGTTAAACCCCGCCGAATCATCGTTCATTCGTGTGTTTAATGTGGAGAGAGCGCTGGATGGCGGTTATCGTTACTACATAGTCACCTATTCGCCATTCGAGGATGGGCGCTTCAAATTCTGGGCTGTCAAAGGAGGCCTGACGTCGCAGCTGGTCGTCGAGGACCTCTTTCCTGACGCTGCACTGACGCCATTGGATCCGGACTCAACGGGGAGCATGTTTTGGAGTATCGCTGATTTCCAGGTGAAGCCCATGGAGGAAGGGAAGCGCATGGAGCTGTGGGTGCTGTGGAGAAATAACAGCGTGTACCAACTGTATACACTACATTTCAGCTTCGAGACGCTGGTGACAGATTGGGCGACGAATTGGGTGTCTACAGCCATGGACACGCGGACACAGGCATCATTGCCGGCTGTTACATCGGAGGATGCTGTGGACCCGACGGAGAAGTGGTTGAGCTTCCTCCTACAGCCGAACCGATACTCGCCGGAGGTACTTGAGACTGCTTTGTCTGTTTATCAGGAAGCACTTCGGCCCCTTTCCTTTCCTACTGCACCAAAGAAAAGCGCCCCTCTTCAAGAACGACTCTGTTCGACGGTCGCTGCCACAGTCTCCCTTCGTAAGTATGCGGAGGATGACATGGATTTTACAAGGTACCGGGCAGACACAGACTCCAAATGGCGCCAATTCTGGCAGATTGCGGAGGACATCAACAAGCGAAGATTCGGAGCGATTTGCCTCGCGTATGATGTCTACAACGAAGTTCCGTGGATGCTTTTCTCGGATAGCTGTGCAGTCATTCGCGAATGTAGCCCTACCGAGTTGCTCCTGCATAACTCAGGCTCCGAGCTTCGAACAGAAGGGCCCAAGATAGCCGATCGGTGGAGCCACAGGAACCTGGGCTCAGAGATTGGTGATTTGTTCGAACAAGCATCGTTCTTGTTGAGGGTTGCTTCCGGTTTCAGGAGACGTTTCCCCCCTGAACTCGAAGCAGCGTGCCACTGTGCCCTTGAGGCGGAAGTCTATGCGGAGCCTTCATCGTCCATCCCCGACCGCATGGATGCGTTCCGTGAGCGGTGCGACTTTACCGAGCAGATTTCCAACAAAACTTATGACGGCCTGCTTGCTGCAATGAATGAGCGTTTGAATATTTACAACTTGTCGAATGATGTCTTCTACACCATCGTTGACACGATCCCTCTCGGTTTTCCCGGCAAAGACTCCGAACTCCTTCCCACTCATTTCGGAGTAAAAGTAACAGTCAACGGCGCCCAGGAGACCATCGAGAGCACACGGCAGCTTCTCACCGACCTTTTACTTCTCGTGGTATTCGTGGACGGAGAGGTTCAGCAGGAGGATGGGTCTACTTTCGATGCCGGGGATCTCTTCGCTACGCTCATATCTCTTTTGAGGGAATACGAGATGATGTCCTGGCTCAGCTCGAATGTCCGAAAGTGCGTCGACAAGCCTCCGAGCGTCATCAGCGACACGTCGAACTCAACCTTCTCCCTGAAAGACTCCACACCCAAGGGCAATGGCGAGAGAGTGGTGACTATCTTGGAGGATCTTTTTGCCACTGATATTAAACCGCGCCAAGCCATTGGCTTACCCCAGAGCTACACGCTGACACTCGGCATTCGAGATGTTCTTTCCTGGGTGACTCGCCAAGGGGAGGTAGCCTACCCGAACGCATTGGTTTACATTCAGTGCGATCTCATTGCGAAGAACAACATTGACATTGCCTGGGATTTCCTGCGCTTCCAAGCAACCACATCATGGGCAACCTATGTGAAGGGTCGTTTATATGTGGCGATGTCCGAATTCGACACTGCGGCTTTGTACTTCCGTAAGGCTGCATACCTCCTCTGTAAGTATATACTCTCACTTTGCACGCCAATTCTAACCGTCTCTAACGTATTTCAGCATGTGGTAAACCTCTCGGCAACTTGCATGAGATGTCATCAACGCTACTGGACATCGTCTCGGTAGACTGCTTCCACAACGGTCTCCCCAAATACTTCCAACATATCTTGTCCATATTCGAACAGGCACGTTCCTTTTCCCACGTTGCAGACTTTGCCAGCCTTGCACTGCAAGCGCTCGCAAGTGAGAATAGAAACGAAAGGGATCCGGAGCGTATTAGCATGCGCACCGACCTGCTCTCGCGCCTTTTCTATGCGTCCTTGAAGACCTGCCAATTCGACGAGGCCTATTCAGCAATGTCTCGATACGAGGATCATGCGCTGCAGCGATCCGCCCTCTCCTCTCTTATCACCGGCATATTGAATGCATCTGGACCAGGCCTGTCTGGGCTTCAGCAGATTCTACACTTTCCCACATCTCTCCTCCCAAATATCGCTACTCATGTTGATGACACACTTGTCTCCCTTGCCCGGAAGCAAACGTCCTTCAATTCTCTATTGGAAGCTGGAACAAAGTGGGCCGACACCACACCGGATTATCAGCGCATCCTACAAGCATATCGTGTTGCCTGTAATGATTATCGCGGAGCCGCCGAAATTGCGTACCGAAACGTCCAACGTCTAAGACACGCTAGAGATAGCCCGTCGAATCGTCTGGTTCTAGCCAAAGGCAGAGATACTGACGATACGCGGCAGACGGTTGAGGAGGACGACCCAGAGAGCAAGGAAATCCGCAACGAGCTTCTCTCTCTGATCAACCTACTTGGCTGCGTTGACAGAAGCGAAGCCTACATCCTCGTCGAGAAGGAAGATTCGACGTCTGTGGCCCAGCGTCGCAGCGCCCAAGCGGACGATGACGGCAACGTCTTCATGGACGATGCAGATAGCACCTCTCTTACACCCACCGGGTCAAGACGCAGTCTCAGCTCCAGCACAGGCGCCATCAAACCTCATAGTCACAGAGACAGCAAGTCCTCGGCCTCCGGTGTAGGTGTCAACAACCACCGCCAGCGCCGAGTCATAGTGACCCTCGACCACCTCCGTCGCGAGTACCAGTCCGAGCTGGACCGAGTCAGCAGAATCGAAAGAGGCGATTGGGATTTCGGGCTCCTTGACGCGCCGGAAGCAGATAATGATGATACAATGCTCCTTGCCTAGATGCGCCGAGTTGAACAATATTTGTTCCTCGGAGTAATACTCGGGCTTTGCACTTCGCGCTTGAGATCCAACTTTCTGTATCGCGGATAAAAGACATGGGGCTTCATGACTTGTTATTTACTGGTTCTGACCTGGATTGATCGCAATTGCAACATATGGTGCAAATAGGATGGATAATGTTTTTCTCTTCCTCTTCTCATCTACCTCCTCGTTTCTGTTATTCAATGTTTAAGCAGCAGTACTGTACTGGGTAGTCATAGTCATTGTCATGTCATGGTCATGGTCAGGAGTGGGAATAAATACTTGCAGCTTGCATTTCGTCTTGATGATATGCGTCGTTGGTTGTGAACTGCTTCGTAATTGCCTTGGCCCTTGGTCGTAGCTAACATCAAGCAAACAGGGTTCCTCTTGGTGACTAAATAATTTGATTAACGGAGACTATTTGTCACTGTTGGCATGTA